GGTCAAGAGAGGTCTGTCACGCCATGTGGATCTCCTCCAGGGCGGGGATCGAACACATGCTGAGGTGGCCTTAGCTTCTTAGTGCTTTAACCTGCTGTGCCACCAGGGAGAGCCCTGTAACACTGCCTTTTAACTCATGCAACTACTTATAAATACTTACAACTTCTTAAAGATTCTGCTATATCTTAAAACTTTTTCTATCCTCAGTGACTAGCAAAACACCTGCCATTTGTATATAAATATATGCTGGTTTTGGTAATTTATTGATTTTTCTTATTTGTACTGAGCAATTTCCTTTTTGTACTGAGCAAAGGAAACCTTATGGACATATTATATGAAGTTTTCCAGAGTTTAATTCCTTTCCATGTTCTTAAAGAGAACATATATAAAGTAGGTGACTCATCTTCATTTATCTAATTTAAAGGAAATTACAAACAGAGCACATTGTTTTGTGCTCTGTTTGCAGAACAGAGTGTTCCGAACATCTACACAAAGTGGAAGAGCCTTAAGCTGAAGGTACAGTATATTGTTTACACTGAAGAAGCACGTGTGTGGACAAGAAAGCGCTGACAGCTCAAATGGATCCCATGGAACTGCGAAATGTCAACATCGAGCTTGACGATGAGAGTGGCAGTGGAGAAAGTGTTCAAGACAGCTACAGCAGGATGGGGAATTCAGAAAAGACAGCAATGAGCAGGTATGTTGTTAAATGACCAGTTTCCATGCAAACCTGAGGTTCATGCATGTGGGAAATGAGATAGTTTTTCCAGGGAAACAACATTTGTTTTTTTCAGGAAGAATTATATGTATAGGTGTCTATCATTCCTGTATGTGACTAATGTAGAGTTGAAGTTACAGTATTCTCATTCCTGTTAATGCAGAATAATTTTTTATTTTTATTTTTATTTAGCTTATCAGTGCTCTTACTTTGTGCACTACATTTTTCCTGATTTCGTCTACCCTGTAAATGTTGTTCCAGCTCCAGAGTTCTGTAGGGATTCTTTTTCCTTTAAACATGTCTTGTGAGCACACTCATTCACAGCTATCCTGGTTTTACCCACTCAACATATGCCATATCTTCAGCCTGTTCAACTTCTCAACTGAATTTCAGAACATTATATCCAACTGTTTACTATAAATCTCTTTTGATGACTCATGTGTCCAAATGCCTCCTCTATAAAGTCAAACTTGTGACATCTGATATTGAACCCCTTTAACACCTTCTCCAATAACCCTTATCATGGCGGAAGTCTCTCAGCAACTCAGCAACTCAGTCAAAAGACCCTTTTTGTCAACTTTGACTCAACCCCTCTTCCAAACCATACACCATTATCTGACTATGCCTAGATGGTTCTACCTCATTAGTGCTCCAAGCTCTCCCTCTTCTCTGTCTACTATTTTCCCATCTTAGTTTAGGTCCTCGTTGTTTGTCAACAGTCATTAAAACAACCCTCATTGCATCTTCTCTCCTCCCATTAATGCTTTATACCCCTGAGAAAAATATTCTTTTACAATTGTAAATTGATGGATTCAGTCCTGGTTTCAACAGCTCTGCATTCATTATAAGATAGAGCTTATATATTGCTCAATAGCTAAGATCCCGATCTGTCCCTGACCTAGTTTTCAAGTCTGGTTTCTTACCCTGCTTCCTCTCCTCTTATTCCCGGGACCTTGCTGAACCTTTTACAGCTCCTTGTGCCTTTACTCTCTCTGCCCTATCTGTTGGAATGCCCTTTTTTGTTATCACCTACCCATTCACTTTTATATTGATACCGCTTATTCTCCAAGATACAGCTCAAAGCCAAATCTAATACATTATGATCTACAGGTGGAAATAATTCCTTCCTTCCTGCACCTCTCTTTATGCAGATATTTATCCTGCCACTATAGCTGGGTAGTATCTTCTTAGTCCCAGCATATGTCACACAACTTGATACACATCAGGTGCACAATAATTTGATAAGCAAATTAATTTTATCATAACATCTTATATAGTACAAATTATGCATGACTCAAAAGGGTTTTTTTTTTTTATCATATGTGGACCTGAAGTAGAGAATATTATCTTCAAACAAGGAAGTCTCATCTCGTTCACTGTATACATGAGAGGCATTGTTCTTCCTCCAAGGCATCAATGCAATTAAATGTTGAGGGTTGTTGGACTAGAAGCCACGGAGATGTAGATAATGTATTTTCTAGGTGTTTCCAGCTAAGGTGACTCTTGAGGAGGCACTGGTTGTTTGAGCACAGAGTTTTGGGTCTGCAGCAGATTTTGCTGACTTTGGAGAAGATACTTATCTTCTGTGAGCTTCTCTGGAAGATGCAGAATGGCAAACATGAATGCTGGAATATAAGCACTACTCAATAAATTTGTGTTCTTTCTTCTGCACTTCATCAGCCTTAATGAACTGATCCAAGTCTGAGGGTGCTTCCATTTCTGGTGTTTACACAGATGTGAGCCCTGCTGAGGGGGGCAGGTTGAAGGGTCACCATCCCAAACAGTCTTCCAGAGTTTCCCATTTGATCCTCAAAAAGCCATAATGGAAACAGTGCGAATGGTTTTCATGAGCTTCAGCACTCACACTGACTTTCTTTTCAACTCCTAACACCATCATGGGTCAGCATACTGCAATTTCATGATCACTTGAAAAAGATGGATTTGTTCATGTTTGGTTTGGATGTCAAGGTTTTTGGAAATTCAGCGTAGCTACATTTATTTGGAATCATTATACTCATGCTGCCAGTACTTGTTGGGTTTAATATCAAAATATTTTCGACACTGGGGACATTTCTCATGTCTTTTATACAATCTTGGCAAGTTTTATGACTCTGACTCATCTCATGCCAAAATAAGAACGTGCAAATGCCTCAGAAATAATTAAAATTATTACATGCTACTCATGAAATAAAGAATTCTAGATTATCAACTGCATTTTTTGTTTGTTTGTTTTTTTTTAAAAAAAAACAAAACCTGCTTGACAATCCAGGGTTCAAATCCAAGTGGTACTTTTGTTTTTGCTTTATGAAACTTAATTAGGTTCACTTTAGGCTCCATTTCATCTTATTGCTGTTTCCTACTATGAACAACATGTACAGTCTGTATACAGCAAGCACATTACCCACAGACTCTTAAAATGAGCACCAGAGAGGGAAGTGAGATTGCAGTGATGGAAGAGGGAGGTTGGGAGGTCTCATGCTTCCTGTGAGAAACAGGAGAACTCCCCAACCTGTATACTGCGAGGTATCTACTCCTTGGGTTCTGGAAAAGCATAAAACTTTGTTTCCTGGTTCTGTCTATACCTTCTATTGTTCTCTATTTTCAAAAGATAAACTTGCCACACCCCTATCTCATAGGTTATTTTCAGGATTAGCTCCTGTTTTAAAAGAGTGTACAGCACTCCTATAATAATTCTCTTTCATTTGTCATAGTGTTTTTAAAATAAGGGTTATATTAATAAAACACTCTCTGATTCCTTTCTTACTCTTTCATGCAATAAATGCCCCCAAATTTGCAATTTAGCTAGTAAGAAAATACTTTTAAGAAGCATGCATAGTGAACACTTCATGTAATAAAAAAGAAAGTCTGTATAGTATTTTGCAGTATCCAGTGCAGTGGTGCCATCTGCGAGACAGTGACATGTGCCACAGGCCCTGGGCAGCCCAGGCAGGATAAGGGGGAGCTTGGCCTTATCCTGCACCCACAGAACCCAGTAAGGAAGTGCTCTGGAGAGGGAGGGACAGCTTAAAGTCCTGCTTCCCTGTCAACTTGTCTACTCATTAACTGTTCTTTAATTTTTTTTGTTTAACGATCCAGGTACATTTTCAGGGTAATTAAAACGCACCCATCCACACACAGAAACAACTAAATACAACGAGGGCTCCCTGAACTATATTCCAACAAGGGATGTATGCACGAATAACGGAGCCTGAAAAAGAGGGCAGTAACAGCAGTAGGAGCTTTCCGGGGCTGCATGGTGCTGTGGAACGTCCAGACACGGAGGCTGGTGTCAGGGCATGCTCGTCAAATCTCTGAGCCATGGTTGCCATAGCCCTAGAGCAAGGGCACAAAAATCCCTCTAGAATAAATAGGTGAGCACCAGAGGAGATAAGGACAGCAGTGCCCGGGCAGTTAATAACTATGTGTTGAGCTAATAAAGTCACCCGATGATGGTGTGGTCAGGGGTTGAGAGTGTGTGTCCTAACTCTGCCCATTTTCCAGAACTGTCCATGGGAACAAAAATGAGCTCCCATTCTCTCTCTTGAAGTTACTGTAGGAGGAAGAGATGGGCCTGAATAAAAATCCCAACAAAAACAATGTTCCCCCTTCATAATTTTCTTCCTCCCTCCCAAGCTGTCTTTATGAATGGGGTTCTGTTGTTGGTACAGAGGGAACATCAGTGTGGCAGAGGAGAGAAAAAGAATTTGTAGGTGATTTGTTTTTCCTCCCCTAATTCAGTTACTGAGATCACTTGAAACAGAACTGTAATTCAGGCCATTTGCTTACATGTTTTCACTTTCTTCTTTCCCTTTCCTGCTTGCATGAACAGTCAATTTGCCAACGGAGATGATGAGAGTCAGAAATTCCTGACGAACGGATTTTTTTCAGGGGAAAAGAAACTCGCAGATTATGATGATGAACATGTAAGTGGATCTCTGCCGGCCGGCAGTAAACAGGACCTGAGGTGTTGGGTCTCTGTGGGAAAACAATGTGACTGAAATTTTCCAATCCTTGATCAGCACATTCTCTGTTTATTCAGTCCCTTACTGGAATAAGGGCTTGTTTTTCCTTTTTGCCATATGGCTGCATAAATCATTTATGAAATGCATTTGTTTTCTGGAGAAATCATTCTAACCCAAATGTAATCTGCAGTCATATTTGCTTTTTCTTCTTTATATTCCTTGACCTGGGTTTTTATTTTTCACTGAGACCCCTGCTGAAATCAGGTATTACATTGCATGGAAAATGACCTGCTTTCATTTAAGTCATGGTTTTTATTCACCAAGATTTTTTGTCGTACTCGTCCATTTTGGATTATAGACTCCCCCAATAAAGATAACGTGAGGTTAACAATAATCTAAAAATATTTGGCAAATATTTGCTTCTGATGTGTCCCTTTGGGGCACCTCCCTGGTGTCCTAACGGTTGAGTCTCAGGCTGTCACTGTCACAATTTTGATCCTCAGCCAGGGAACCGACCCACATGACATAGCGGACCTCTCCCATCTCACCGCTGCTCCACTCAGCAGTGAAATTCAGTACATCTGTCTGTTCTGCTCCCCACTCTGTCTCTGGGGAATCCTCTCACTTCTGCACCTCTGGCCTACACCGCAGTCCTTCCACATTAAATATAAATAAAAAAGAAATATAATGTGTCTCTTTGTCTTCCAGCACCCTGGGGCCACTTCCTTTGGGATGTCCTCATTCAACCTGAGCAATGCCATCATGGGCAGTGGGATCCTGGGCTTGTCCTATGCCATGGCCAACACTGGGATCATCCTTTTTGTGTAAGTGAACGTTTCTACATTTGAGTTGAAGTCCACACTTACTGGTGTTCTTTCCCTCACCAGTCTGCAGTTTGATCTTTGTGAACAGGACTAATCTGAGGCAGTACTAGCATGTTCCTCTTATTTTGAGAGAAAGCAATATCCTTAGAAATAATCAGAGGTCTAATCAGGCCTCCTGTTCACAACCAAGTGGCAGAAAGTATATGCATTCAACCACCTAAGTGCTGGAACAGTGTCCTCTCCACTCCCCCTCCCACACCCCCTCTGCATGGGAATGATTTTATAGTCATTCATTGCTTGGGAGATGCTAAAAATAATTTGGTATTTAGGAGGCAAAGGATCATTCCCAGAAGCAAGTCTGACTTCCACACTCTTAGGAAAAGGGCCCCATCCCAAAGAGAGCCCTGTCAGCCTGAGTCCCAGCCTGAGTCAGTCTCTTGCCCAGCTCTGTGTTCCTCAGGCCAGACACAGGGAGCACACGGTTCTCTCAGTCCCTTCAAGGTGCATCTTCCCTTACCACGGGACCTTTGCACATGGTCCTGGGATCCCACCCCATTTCTTCTTTGTCCAACTAACTCCCCATCACTCAGTACATCCTCACCTGCTTCCCCCCTTTGACGACTAGGACAAGCTGCCGGTTTAAGGCACCATCTTATAGTATAAAACTCATCACAGTTTTGCTTTTATTCCCCCCCCCACATTTGTCATAGCGTATTTACTTAACCCATTTTTCATTTTGGCTTTGATTTCTTGTTTTTTAAATAGAATTTTTCCTCCTAAATTCATTTATTTACTTTCTTACATGGTTGGTCAGTTTTTGCACAGTATTTGATTTCTCCCCAGGTGTCGTCCCAGTAGTTCTCCCACCACCATAGCACCCGAGTCATCCCCATAGTCTTTTGTGCACTTTGCTCCCCTGTTTTGATGCTTCTCCTTACCCCTCCCCAGCTGGATGCCTCATATCTATGGTCAGATTGCAAGCTTAGTGTTTTTCTTGACCTTTTGTTTGGTTTCTCTATATTCCACATACAAGTAAAGCCATCTGATATTTATCTGTTTCACTCTAACTTATTTTGCTTGGCATCATCCCTTCCAGCTCCATCCTTGTTGCTACAAATGGCCTGAGTTCATTCTTTTTGATTGCTGGGTAGTATTCCATTGTATATATATACCAGACTTTTTGATCCATTTGTGTGGTTGGAGGCATTTGGGTTGTTTCCATATTTGGCTATTGTAAATAGTGCTGCAATTAATATAAGAATTAATTAGTGTTAGTGTTTTTGTGCCATTTGGGTAAGAGTTCTAGAAGTGCAATCATTTGATCATCACAGTTTTGCCATTTAATGCAGTTGTCTGATTCACCTGGTTGATATCTACGTTCTTTACTAGACTGCAACCTCCAGAGACTGAGCCCATGCTGATTTCACTCACCATGTGTCCGATACAGTGTCCATCATAAGGAGTATTTTCAGAGTGACTGGGGCTTATTTACTACTAAATCTATGCATTTTAACTGGGCTTGACCAGGAGGATGGATACAATGATGGCTGTGATAGACAATCACAAATGTGTGTGTACGTTACATATGGCTTGGTAATCTCTAAGGCACAGCTGGTAGCAATGGAATTCTTGACAGGAATAAAGCCTAGTGTTAGCCAGGCATCAATGTGGATGCAGATCCCAATCCTTGATGCAGTGCTAGCAAGTTAAATAACTGTCTAAGAATGCAACATCTACATTACAAATATATACTATTTATGTTCTGAGCATCACTTGTTATTAAATAATCTCATAGATATTTGAGGGCTGAGGATCAGACAGAACTATAAATATTAAATTGTGTAGTGCTTTAATTGAACTGTTTAGGTATAGATGTTTTAGCCATATGGGTTGGGTTTTTATCTCAACCTTACTATTATAACTCATGCTTTAGAGAAACCAACTTTTCAATTCTCTGAGTCTTAATGGCTAAGGAAGTAATCCTGTGTGTATGTATATTATATACTGTTGTCAGAATACTGTCTTAAGATAAAAAGACTGCCTTCTTTTTAATTTTACATCTCATTAAAATTAATTAGGATTGATCACTCATGAATAGAAATAAGGAAGACTTTTCTGTAGTCCTACAGCCACAGACAGTTTCCATGAGAGAATATTCCACTTTTAAAACCAAGGGGCACTTCATTTAGCATATTCATATTTCATATTTTAGTATATTAATTTGGCCAAAGCAATTCAATTGCTAGACATTGTGGAGTATGTTTTATGTGTCTAAGTAGTATAGACTGACTTCAGCTATTGTCCTTAATTCACAAGTGACATAGTACTTCATTGGTTTTACTTTAGTATTCTCTGCCAAAGCAAGCACATGTTTATAATATAGGAAGTGCACATTATTTTTCCAGGAAACAGAATTATGTAACCCAACTTACACATTTTTAAAAAACAGACAAGTTCTTAAAGTGCATGGAAAACTATATGAATCCTTAATTAGATAGCTCTGGTAAATAAATTTTGTGAAAGAGGAGAGCACAATATAGTTAGAGCAGTTATAAAATTTATAATGGTCCAAATGTACATTTCCACATTGACATCTTTAGGAATTATGAGTGAATTGGATCAGTTGTGAGGGGAATACTAAAAAGGGGGAATTGTCCTGCCTCTGTTCTCTCTATTAAACATGTGATTGCCTGACTGTTTCACAAGTATCATGTTATCTGATATTGAAGTGGAACTCAGACTTCAATTCAGAAGTGGAATTCAGACTTCCACATTTTATATTAAAATGTAGTCAGGGTACTGAACAGCCTTTCAATTATCTTTATTGATGTAAATATAGACAAAGATGATATGCATAAATCCACACACTGTGTGAACAGATACAATATTTGCTAATTTTATTTTACAACTAAGTTAGGGACCAGATTTTTCTACTCAGGAACACTTAAGCAAGGTTAGGAACTTCAGAAATAAGTTTTGATATATAAAATATAGCAAATTCAAGTTTGGTGATTTTAGTAAGTGGTGTAGAGTACTGGAAAGAATATCTCAGCTTCCTCAAAATCCGAGGACTTTATACACTGCTGGTGAGAATGCAAACTGGTCCAACCACTGTGTGGCGGTTCCTCAAATTAATTAAATGGAGTACTGCATGATCCAGCATCTACCAAAGAACACAAAGACACTAATGTAAAAAACACAGCCTTGTGTGATTGCAGCAGCACTATTTACAATAGCCAAGATATGGAAACAATCCAACTGTCCCCAAACAGATGACTGGATCAAGATGTAGTCTATATACACCATACAATACTACTCAACCATCAAAAAAATATAAACTCAGGCCATTAACAGCAACATGATGGAGCTGGAAGGGATCATGCTCAGTGATATAGGGCAGGAGGAGAAAGAAAAATATCACATGGTTTCTCTTATAGGAGGAGTAGAGGGGAAACCAAATAAGGGATCAAGGAAGAAAATAATAAATAAACAAAATCATCAGGCAAATATAAATCAGAGACTTTCTGCAGCATTCTGCAGGGAAAGGAGAGGAAGAGGAATCAAAACAGGGGCGGGAAGAGCACAGGGGCTATGGTGGTGGTGCACGGTGGCTTGGTGGTGGGAATTTTATGGGGACGATACCTGATTGAAGAAAGCAAACAGTGCACAAAACATGAACAACGATGTAACACATATATTTGAATAAAGCAAGGACTTTTGAAAGTTAGTGATTGAGGAGACTGATGTGACCATAGATAATAACATCCGGCATTATCATGTCTTGTTTATTATAGAAACTGTTGTACTCTCTGTTCCCTCCACAGAATCATGCTGCTGGCTGTAGCAATCTTATCACTCTATTCAGTTCACCTTCTGTTAAAGACCTCTAAGGAAGGAGGTATGCTAGCCTTTAAGTTCCAGACCTTATGTTTTGATTCTCACCACAGTATTTCAGTCCTCAGTTCCATAACTATAGGATGATTTTGGACACTTATATTTTATTTTCTTGGGACACCAATGTTTGTGGTTATTTTAGCAAGTGAGAGGAGTTCAAATCACATGACTTAGGTTAAGTTGTATAGAAAAAGATTTTAGGTAGATAATAGAAAAAATAGTTTTGACTGCTGCCTGGAGCTAATGTATATCACTACTAGTTTGGAGTACATGTTAACACATTTTTGTGTTGGTTGTTTAGATTGTATAATTTGGGTTTATAATTTCTACTTAGTGTTTATTTATATGTTTGAAAGCCCAGTGAAGAATTCTATCACAGAAATACCGTAGTCATTAATATAATTTTAACAGTTCTTTGGTCTTTGATTGTAGGATCTTTAATTTATGAAAAATTAGGGGAGAAAGCATTTGGATGGCCTGGAAAAATTGCAGCTTTCGCTTCCATTACATTGCAGAACATTGGAGGTAAGATGGCAGAACTTTGAATAGGCGAAGAATGTTCAATAAATGATACAGCATGGCAGTGAAAGCATTTATTACTTTTAAAAATAAGAGTAGTGTTCTTTGTTATTTCTAGAGCAGTTTATGCTTCATATGTATGACTGGGTTTATTTCATGAAATTGAAAATTTGGCATTTAAGTGGCAGAGCCAACCTGAGAGAGCTCGCACAGCTCCATTCAGTGGAGAGAATTTCTGGTAGTTGTACTAAGGTAAAGATCTAGCTAGACCTTAGGAGCATTAGAACCCACAGTTTCCTTGGTTCTACAGATTCTTACATTTCCTATTGAAATATAAGTTCTAGTGAAGCCTGGAAACAGGTGTTTTGGGCAGGGTTCTAGCTGATAAGTCTTCCCCTGGCCTCATTGTGCTCATATTGTGTCTTTGACCCTCTGAAGGTATCACCAGCACCATTAGGTGATCACTATTTCTAGCTCAGACTGTTGCAGTCCCCTCAGATGCTGGCTAGTCTTCCTGCCTCAGGTATCCCAATCTGGTCTCTAATTCACCTCCAGATTTGCTTTCTAAAATTAAATTCTGTTCTTCTTTCTCCCTTTCATAAAAATTTTCATCATTATTTTCATGATAAAATTTAAATTATTTGGCCAGGTACATAAAGGTCTTCGTCATCTTTCCTCCACCTCCTATGTGATAACTCTTCTACCAATCCTTCGGTCTGACATTCTTTCGGTATATTTGTCTGTCCGTCTACCTACCTACTTACCTCCTATCTATCCATCCATCCATCCCTGATGTGTCCTGTAGGCCATAACAAACTATTCAATTTCAGTTCCCACCCCTTTTTATCCTGCATACTTTCCCCTCCCTGTGTCCCGCACCATACCTTCTCATTCTGTTCCTTTCTTTCCCCTACTTCCTTTCTTCCTCCTCCTCCTCCTCCTTTCCCCACTCCCTCTCCTTTACTTGTATATTGTCCATAGCCTCTCTAGGCTATCAAGGACTTGTTCTTATGGGGCCTCTGGGCCCCATTTCTCTGTATCTGTTTTTTTAATGATATTTTCAAACTCTTAAGTAGAGAATAGACCTCTAGATTCTGGTATAATTTAAGTCTGTTTCTAGCATCATTTATGATCTTGGGAAAATCACTATAGCAGTCAGAGTCTAGTTGGTCCTTCTATGAAAATGAGAGGACTTCACAAGGTCATTTCGAAGGTGAAATAAGGCAACATGTGGTACAAACAAAATAAGGATTCGGTAAATGCTTCCTTACCACAGATTCAGTAATCGTGTCTTTGGAGTCCTCCTGATTGCTTTCAAGTGGGCCTTTTTATAATTTTAAGACACATATATGTGAATAGTGAAAAACTAACATGTTGCATAGATTATAAAGAAATGTTCATGTAAGTCATCTTTAGAAATAACTACTCCAGATTTTCTTGTCAAATTTAGCAAATAACATTAAAATGAGGTTAACTTTATAATACTGATTACAGTTTTTTTAATTAACAGTATGTCTTGAATGCAATTGCATATTCTTCTTTTTAACAACTTGAGTTTTTCATTGCACAAATACATCATGATCGGTTTATTGAATCACTTATTGGTTTAGATTGCTTCCTGTTACCCACTATTGCTCACAAAGCTGCAACTATAAACTTGCACAGAGATCTTTTGAGGAGGTCACCCTCTTCTGAAAAATAAAATCTCTGAAATGACCTAGGATTTTTGGAAGGCAGCATTTCCTCTCCCTTCCTTATAGTCACACTTTTTGAGTGTGAGGCTTGATGGATAATAAACCACCTGACAGTTTTGTAATTGTTTAGAAGCTACAGACAATGGTGTTTCCCAAAATATTGGGTTCAGGGCTGAATATGTGTACACTGGTTATTTTAGTTGTCAAGTAAGCAAATTAAATCAGCAATGAGGTGTTCCTGGGAAATGAATAAATAAAATAAGCTTTATTCAACTATATCTACTCCAGTTAATGAATAGTTGATAAGGTGATAAATGAATCTAGCCATACCTTAATAATTTATATTTATTTCTAGCCCTCACTAAATAGACTGCCTTAGAGTGGATTCAAACTTTCTGCCTTGTCAAAACATAAACTATCAGTCATTTCCCAGGAACACCTTATTGCTGATTTAATGTGCTTATTTGACAACTAAAATAACCAGTGTACACATATTCAGCCCTGAACCCAATATTTTGGGGAACACCATTGTCTGTAGCTTCTAAACAATTACAAAACTATCAGGTAGTTTATTATCCATCAAGCCTTAAACTCAAAAAGTGTGACTATAAGGAAGGGAGAGGAAATTTCATACTTCCTCCCTGATAATGTTCTCACTTTAGTTATTGCCTATAATTAGTGATTATTTTGGCATAAGTAGTTCTGTATTTAGCAACAGTCTGTATTTAGAACATTAAATTTTTAATTCTCTCAGTCCTCTGAAAAATTAACATTTACCACAGATGTTTCAACATTAGCAGGATAATGTTGACATTACCCAGACAGGTCTGGATCATTCTGAATTTTTGAAGACCAAACACATTAACAGTGGTGATATCACTTAAAGTCAGCAATTAATAGCTCCAAAATTGAATGGTACTGCACTGAGCCAGTTAATCAGAAATATCTCCTCTGTTTACCCTCTGTAAGATTTAGCTTTAGCCACGGTCTTTGTAAAGATTAACTAAATAATGTTTACAGAAATCATACTAGGTATGTAAAAATCATTTTATTTTACCAAAGGCAAGAAACACTGTCCCCAAATCCGGGAATTCACATTCTAGATGTGGGCTGTGATTTTCAGACTGTGTGATCTTGGACATGTCATTTAAACTCTCAAAACCTGAATATATTTTGCTGATGAAGAAATATAATAACATCACACATCTTGCTATTTTCAGCTGATTAGATGCACAGCAATGTGCAGAGCTAAACAATGTTGAAGATTATCACCGCTATTACTTTTATTTGATGTTCAGAACATATTGTTAAGCTATTAATAGCTCCTGCTTTAAATTTCTGTTATCAGAAGGATAGAGCAAGGATAAAGCTGCGGCGTAAATCTTGTCCATTTTATTTTTAACTGCATCTTTTGGCCATATGTCAAATGACTTGGGGAAAGTGTTGTTTCATAAATCGTTACACTTGTGGCTAAGTTATATGTTGTGCTTATTTATAAGCTAGCACTGCTCCAGAAACAGGGTTTGTGAATTTCGTTTACTTTAGATTTTCAGAAGAGTGAGTGATCACACACCTGTCACTTATCTAGATACTCAAGAAATTTTGCCTCTTAATAATTTATTTAACCAAAGGGAGCTTAAGATGTAGAGGGTAAAACTTCATTGACAAAGGGAGAGAAGCTGTCATCACCTATATTCTTTGATTCATCTAGGGTGACTCCATTTTAGTCAATCACTGGCCCGAGACTTTGTGTGCCCCTCGGCACATTGCAGAGGACTAGAATAGTGCCCACCTGGGAAAAGCCACTGGGAGTGACAAAGTCTCTTCTGTTCCACTCTTCGGCCTCTCTTCTGGCCCATGCCTAAGGGTGCCAGACCCCAGACCCAGCCATAGATACTGCACACTTAGCACGGTGATGATTTATAACTAATGAGGGAAACCTTTAAAATGGCAGCTTTAAATGGCATCGAAAACCTCTGAATTTAACCCCAAAACCAACATTGAAGTTGATACAAAGGTCTACCTGCCAGAGCCAAAGGACCACACATTTGTTTTTTAAAAGAACTTGGGAACAATACAAACACTGGTGGGTGACTTTCTTTTCATGGGGGATTTAATACTCATCTTTCTGAGAATAAAAGCCCCAAATACCAGTTCTTACAACTTGCAGTGGCTCAGTGCTAAGTGCTCGACTAAACTGTCATGTTTTCCATTTCAGCTATGTCAAGCTACCTCTTTATCATCAAATACGAACTGCCTGAAGTAATCAGAGCATTCATGGGACTTGAAGAAAACAGTGGGTATGTCTTATGCTCCCTGTGATGTCCACTGGCTCATTCTGCGATGTCTTTTCTAATGTCCCCGTCTCTTTTTCCTTCCTAGAGAATGGTACCTCAATGGTAACTACCTCGTCATCTTTGTGTCTGTTGGAATCATTCTTCCTCTTTCTCTTCTTAAAAATCTAGGTAAAGTCACTTTTAATTTTTATTTTCATTTCATAATCTAATAGGTAAGCTGATTGTAGATACCATATTCACCTTTCAGAATTTCTCTGCTAACTCCTAGGTTACCTTGGTTATACCAGTGGATTTTCTCTCACCTGCATGGTGTTTTTTGTCAGTGTGGTAAGTGACTTATGGATGTGATCCTTGGAGCTTGGTGGCCATGAGAAGCTTTTAGTGCCCGACTTATTGATAGTATCTCCATTTTTGTCCTGGCACTTCACAAGCATGACGTCATTCTCATGTTGCAAGCAGCTTTCTTATATTCTAACTTGGAATGAAAAAAGAGTGTTTGTTTAAAAGTAGTTAAGTTAGAATGTCAAGATAATTTCAGGTGGTATGTCCTGGGCATACTCAATATGTATTTATTTGGACTAAAAGAACACTTCAGGCAAAAACAACAAAAACCAGATTTAGAAAGATGGAGCAAGAAGAGTCCCAGAAAAGCAATGAGTAGAATAGTCACATCAACATGAATTCACCTACTCCTATGTGAAGTTGGAGACCAGTAATCATAGGGAGTTAGAGAAGAAATATTCTCCCCAAATCCCCTGTTGTCTTCCTAAAGGGGAAATGTTTGTTAATATCAATATTTTTGGTTTGTTAATACCAAAATTTACATAGCATTTCTCCAGAAAGGCAATGGGAGAGGAGAGAATTTTTGATGAAAAATCACCATTAGTTTGACGAAATAAAATATATGAAATGTGGTGAGAAAATTATCTTTCTTGTGGAAGAATATGAATCAAACTTAGGGTACATTCTTGCAAAACTCGATCTTGTCGACTCTAAGGGCAGGGTTGCTAATCATAGTTCCAACGCTTTCTTTGGGACCGAGGTTACAAGGAGTCTTCATGGCCCATTAGGTTAAAGGGAGTCCTCAGGAGAAGCCTCAGCCTCACCACTAAGGCACGTACAGATTTTCATTTCAGTGCTTTCCCTCCAAAGCTGACTTGCTTGTTTGTTTTGTCTGTTTGTTTGAATGACTGGGTCTAGGTGATTTACAAGAAATTCCAAATACCCTGCCCTCTGCCCATTCTGGATCACCATGTTGGAAATCTCACCTTCAACAATACTCTTCCAATGCACATGGTGATTTTACCCAACAACTCTGAAAGCGGTGGCGTGAACTTCATGATGGATTACACCCACCAGAACCCCACAGGGCTGGATGAGAACCAGGCCAGGCACTCCCTCCATGGCAGTGGAGTTGAATACGAAGCTCAGAGCGATGACAAGTGTCAGCCCAAGTACTTCATATTCAACTACCGGGTAAGTAAGAGGTCTGGGCTTTCTACAAGCCCAGCTCTGTGGCCCTGACTTTTGGTTCCATAAATCTAGGGTTCCATTAACACATGTCTTTGTTTTTCAGACGGCCTATACAATTCCTATCTTAGCGTTCGCATTCGTATGCCACCCCGAGGTCCTCCCCATCTACAGTGAACTGAAAGAGTAAGGCAGCCATGTTAGCATTCTCATTTGCTTTGAAAATGGGTTCATATATTCCAGGTGCTTTATATAGAATCCTAGTTTTATAGCTTTCTCCTCACAGAAAGCCTGTGCTTCTATCACCCATCAGTTATATATTTTAACCAAAAAGGAGTCGGTCTTGCCTCTACACTCACTACTTTACCTCCTTTTTTCTACAAACTGATGGTTGGGAGGGGTGGTGGGGGTGGTTCGGAGCAGAGAGAAGAGGTGCCAATTTGGACAGACAAAGGGAACTTGGATTTTGATGGAAATTAGTGATGTCACCTGAACCAGAAATGACCACATACATGTAGAACAAAAGTTACTGTTAGTGTGGTCATTGATGTCACTTATGGTCAATCCCTAACCCTTGTCCAGAAGAAAATCACCCTGGGAAGGTGCCAACATCCTACCATCATTGTTATGCAATGGAGACATAGTCTAAACAACCCTGTTCCAGCTGATATTTTGTTATTCATTAATATGCTTTCTCCTTGATCTTGACATCTACTTGGTGAGGTTAGGCTTTGAGCCCTTTCTTCTCGGGGATGGTATCATGTAATAATTCTCAACCTTCACCCAGACATCAATAACCTCAGTCTTCATTGTTACTAAATAACAATAACTTTATCCATAAATTCCTAAAATTGACCTCATAAAATTTCTTTGAATAGTTTCAGTTACTTTAATGACTTTTATTAACTTGGAAAATCATATATATTTGTTATTTTAAAGGTCTGCAAATTGACTTTAAGTAGCTGAATACCTTCTAGAGAGGTGTCCAGAAAATGTCCACTTATTAATATCAAACGACCTGCATTCTAAACTCCTAGGAATAATGCTTTGCTAATTTAGTAGGTTCCTCTCCTCATTAAGCCCATGCTTCATGAGATATGAAAGCTTTCTATCTAGAAGCCAGTTTGATCTTTACATAAATCACATTCTTAAATACTCAGTAGATAAGCTTACTTGGACTTCTAGGAAAATGATTGTTTCTTAAGCACTGAAAGAGTAGTGCTTAAGAAAAGTTTTCATATTCCAACTTCTCCACATTTCTCTAAGACAAATTTAAACAAGCTATGTTGCTGTAAGAGAATGGTGAAATATCATGAGCAACACAGACCTATATGCTTGCATTACTTTTTTACATTTTAATTCCAAAAAGTGAGATTTTCATGTTAAAAACATTTTTTTTTTCAGTCGGTCCCAGAGGAAGATGCAAGCAGTGTCAAATATTTCCATCACAGGGATGCTCATTATGTACCTGCTTGCTGCCCTATTTGGCTACCTGACCTTCTATGGTAGGTCACTCTCAAAGTCCTCCTCGTGCGAGTCCTGATTAGACTGACCATCAGCCTGAGTGTGCATGATCCTTTTGTGAGTGTGTGTGTATAAAAGAACTGGGGTGCAAGCCAGAGGTGTAGTGGATGAGAGGAATCACCAGAGGCAGAATGGGGAGCAGAACAGGCAGATCTACTGAAATTCACTGTTGCAGGGAGCAGCAGGCAAGAGAGGAGTGGTCTGCTGAGTCCAGCCGGGTTATTGGACGCAGGCTGTAGAACTGATAGTGCTGAGACTTAACCTCATAGACCACCGGGGAGGCCCAGGCTGAGACTTAACTCATAGGCCACCGGGGAGGCCCAGGCATGTTTCCTGTAGTTGTCCAGCTGCATGATCTCTAGATGCACATATGCAGTTAACTTGTTTAACTGGTTGAGTGCAGTACCATTCGATTTTGGAGCTATTAATTGCTGACTAAGTGATATCACCACTGTTAATGTGTTTGGTCTTCAAAAACTCAGAATGATCTTATTTACTAGTCATGTTGACTCTGGGGATTTGAAGCATAAGGCAGGTGTCTAACTCATCCCCTTTTAGTCTATTATAGTAAGTGGTTTTCTAAGAAAAGAGAAGTGTATGATATAATTCTGTCAATCTGGGAATGCACTACTGAAAAAATAAAGTGATATGGCCACATTAAGTTATACCTGAAGCATTTCTTCTATGGTATTATTTTTTGTTGTAGAAGAACTGGGGTGTTTAGGAGGTGTGGGAGGTGAAAGGATTCAACAGAGACAGAGTGGGGAGCAGAACAGGCAGATGGACTGAACTACACTGCTAGAGAGCAGCAGGTGAGACAGACGAGGTCCGCTGTGCCCTATGTGGGTCAGTTCTGTGGCTGGAGACTGAATTCCGGTTGTAGTGGTGATAGCACTGAGACTAGCCCCTAGGTCACCAGGGAGAACATTCTATGGCATTTAACAGGACACAAGGACTACAATTATTATTATTTCCCATGACAAATAGTACTATAGACAAATTTCAGGGAATCAAACACCGACGACCTGGTAGCATATGATAGCACTAATCACTGTTAACAATATAGATTTTGTGTGTGTGTAAAACTCTCTCACTTGTAATTTTTCTGATTGAATTGATAAATTGATTACAAGATAAGTGAGGGGGGAAGGGAAGGCACCATTAGCTTGGATTTTACTCTAACTCATAAATGACTATTCACCAAGCCCTCACTTCTGGGTGCTAACTCCTTGCCAGCTGAGAATTAATGAAAATCAGGTATTTTTACCTCCTATGCCTGATTTTGAAGGAGTAATGAAAATGGCAAACTACCTCCGGTTCTACAAGTGTCTCCTTGTCATTTGTATCTGGAGCTCTGGATGAGTATGTTTTCCAGAAGGGCAGGGTCTTAATCTCAGCGTGATATTCCATAGGAAAGCCGGTAAAATTCATTAATGTGTTTCACTTACACTGGCTTCAGTGAGTTTCATAAAACAAGCAAAGACTTGAAAAAGTCCCAAATGATGTCCTTCAGTGCAGTGACAGGGTAATCCTTGTCAAGCCTAGAAAAGTGTTAAGAGATCATGTATCCGGCCCTCCCTGGTGGCGCAGCAGGTTAAAGCGCAGCACTGAGAATATAAAGTTGCTTCCGCATGAGTTCGATTCCCGCCTGCCCCGGAGGTGACCACATGGCGTGGCAGACCCCTCCTGACCCGCCCGCTGCTCCCCTCAGCAGTGTACTTCGTCGATCTGCCTGTTCTGCTCCCCATTCTGTCTCTGGTGAAGCCTCTCGCCGCTCCTGAGCCTCTGTTCTGTATGCACAAATAAATAAATCTTTAAAAAAAAAAAGAAAAAAAAAGAGATCATGTATCCTTGGAATTCTATGCTGGGTTTGGAGAAGCCAAGTCAGGTTTGTGTTGGGGAGAGAAGGTACCAAGATGTGAGGTTCAGAATGGCAGAGCTTGGACCTTTCCAGAACTCCCACCAGAGCACATAAGTCTGTCCTAAGTTTTGTGATGCTTCCATACAGCAGCAGTGTATGTTCAGGGAAAGATTAATCGCCATGCAAATGACCCTTAGCAAATTTGTATTAGCATGTGCTACTCTATAAGTTTGGGGGCCTCTCTGTCCATGTAAAGAGTCACATGGTTCATAATCCCTGAGATAGGCTAGCAAGGGAGGCATATGAGCTGCCATACCTGGGTTCTTTCCACTGCTCTGTGTCCATCCATGAAATGTTGTATAGGGCCTCCCTGGTGGCCCAAAACTTAAGTATCAGCATTATCACTGCTAAGGACTGAGTTTGATCCCCGACCAGGGAGCTGACCCACATAGGGCAGAGCTTACCCACATAGGGCATGCCTGCAGCTCCCCTTAGCAGTGGATTTCAGTCAGTGCAGCTTTTCTGCTCCCCACTTTGTCTCTGTCACTCTGTCCACCCCCAGACCTCTGCCTATACCTCAGTTCTGCTATGCAACAGTAAATAAATTATTTTTAAAAAGCGAGCAAAGAAATGCTCCTGTAAGTGACCTGCGCTGGCTCACATCAGAGGACTTACTTTCTTCATCTCTGCAGGAGAAGTTGAAGATGAATTACTTCATGCTTATACCAAAGTGTACACATTTGACACCCCTCTCCTCATGGTGCGCCTGGCAGTGCTGGTGGCTGTGACACTGACCGTGCCCATTGTCCTGTTCCCAGTAAGTACATGAGGCTTTGGTGGAAGACTCGTGTTTAGCCCCAGACAGGCGTGCATGTGTTCTGACCTGATGGGAATTTACTTATCATGTGGATTTGCAAGTGCGATGCCTAAGAACATTATTATTTTTACGGAGCATTCTGAAGACAGCTTTAAATTCACCTTTTGCTATATAGATGTAGAAACTGTCTCCAGGAAGTTAAGGTCTTTTTTAAAGTGTAGGGGGATTAAAAATCACGTTTATTTCTACTTATGTATTGATTTTCCAGTTTAATTGACGTTGAAATATATTTTTTAATTTAATGCCAAGTTCAGATTTTGAGCCTCTGTCTAGAGGATTAGTGGAAATAAATAGGAGTTCAAATATTTCTAAAGACCAAAAACATATGAACCTTCAAATAACATTGTATTTTTGCCTATGTTTTGAAGCTCTTCCTTTTTTCTGCTTTTTTCACCCCGAAGTGATCTTACTTAATTTGGCTTCTTGAAGGCTGTCAAGAAGAAAGTTTATTAGGAAAATGACATCGTAGAGACAAATTTCTCAAAAAATAGTTATAGTACCGCTCATGTGTTTCTTCGGCCCCTAAAACTGGCACATGCTTATCTGCCAGCCTTGGCCTGGGGCAGCCCCTTCTTGGCATTTCCTCTAGCGTAGTTATCCTGGGGTTGTGAGAGGTAACCCCCTGACCTATAGATGAATAAATATGCTGTCCTGCCAGCTCCTTGCCTCTCGTGAACATTGCGTGCACCCCCTCATTTTAGGAGAAATCGGTGACACAGCCACTAGCACTGTCCTGTACAGAATGTTCCATCCCCAGCCAGGCATGAGGGCTGCTCATAAATGAGCAGTAGTTTCCTTAAATGCAGCTTGTGTGCTGAAATACTTTTTGGCACATTCCTTTTTCATGAGTGCATGAAATCAAATCCTTATTCCTATGTGGTGACTATTTTACTCTTAAATAATGTCTCTCCTATATCTGAAAGTATTTCTAGTGATATGCACACAGTAAAACCAGCTCCATCTTGGATAGAAGGTAGAAGACAGCTGTAGACAGAAAGTATATTATAGGGTAGAATTTTCAAGCAAGTAGCGTCACTGAGAAAAGAATATCTGGAGTACTTTTATTTTTGGTGCATAAAAATATCACTCAATGTTGGTACACAGAGGACACCCACATTGTTATTGAACCAAAGTAATTTCTAAAAGAAACCTGCTGTGTGCATTTCTTTTGCTTTACTCACAAGCGCTAACTATGGTGCTTTGGGGTGCGGTCTTAGGAGATAAATGGATGTGGCTGTGGTCACCTGCTTGTCAGTAGCAGTGAGGTAGTGCTCAAAGCCCGAGGTTATTGGCTGAGGTCATGCTAAGAAGACGTAAAAGTCAGCCTCTCACTTACTGATGACTATTTCACCTTGACGTTACAAATTCCAATCTCCCCCTAGAAATCTTTCCCCTATGTGACAAATTTGGCTCTGGTGTTAATTTGACCATCAGGACTAGCCAGATTTTATAAACATGTCTCATTAGATGTCCATTAGAACCAAAAGAGTCACTAGAATCAAATTTTAGAAAAATAACTGTGACCCTTCATTATGGATTTTTTCACTCAATTTTAACATTTATAAAATATTGTGTACATAATTCTGACTTTGCACAAACAGTGTTCCACTGAGATGGTCTCTGTAAGTATTGGCCTTGTACCAAGTTACAGGTTCCTGGGAGTTAGGGATATGCCCTATGTTTGATACAAGACGGGCTCAAGAATATCTGTGAAGATGGGCCACCCTAGTGGCAGAGGATTTAAGTCTCAGTGCTATCAAGCTATCGCCAGTCACTGTAGCCTGAGTTTGATCCCTGGCCAGGGAATTGACCCACATGGTGCAGCAGACCTCTCCTGTCTCATCTGCTGCTCCCCCAACCGTGGATTTCAGTAGATTTGCCTGTGCTACCCTCCACTCTGTCTCTCTGGAATCCTCTCTACCCCCATACCTTTGGCCTCGACCTCAATTCTTGATTGCATAAATAAATAAAAATAAATGTTAAAAAAAAAAGCAGTCTGCAAAGAAATACATTTTCCAAATGAATCTCTCCTTTTCTTGAGATATTAAATGGCCCTTTCTGGCAAAAGCAGAAGCTAGTCCCCTTGCTGAGATTTGCCATGGACTACACCTTAGCTGGGGCTCTGGAATAATGAAGCAAGACTCCATGGTCATAAAGTGAGTCCAACCTCCTGGTCCCAACCTCATCTCCCAGATAGATTTAATTCAGATACTGTCCTCCAAAGCTATAGAAGATAGTAGTGGTGTTTTTGTTTGATTTTTCTTACAATTTAGAGCCAAGGTTTTCAATGTGATTAGCGTAGAGTTCTAGCATCTCCTCCTGAGAGGTTTCTTAGAATCAAGAAATGCTTGACCAGTAAGAAGTTTGCCTGCTTTGCTTTGATGTACAAACATACAAATAATAAAGGAATTACAGCTTAATCTGACTTAAACCTATCAGCTGTGGGTCTTTTGTTTGTATTCTCCTTCTTCCAACAAATGATAAATGGACTGTTTCTTAGGAGCTCAGGGACTGGTGACAAGGGACTGTTGGGGTTTTTCTGTTGTTGCTGCTGGGCTGCTTTCCCCTGGATTATGCCATTTTGTGTTTTTCTTTTCTCCACTCAGGTTAACACACACTTCTTAGTAAAAGGCACATCATAACTGCCTCAAATTTTTGAAGAACAAGTGAATAAATGAAGTAAATTAGAACTTTTTCACAAGTCCAACATTTCTTTTCTCTCTCTTAGTGCTGAAAATGGGGTGATGTGGCTGGGGGTAACTAATATGGGACTCTCCCCCCTTTGCTTTTGCTGACCTTTTTGTAAAAAGTTCACACATCTCCATAAAAAACAAACCAATTAATCCTGATGGTTTTATTCAGAACACACAGGGAGAAATTCGACCTGCCAGAATCTTACCTGAGATGCTCCAGCTACTTCTGCTTCATTTTCTCACAATTAAGCCATTCTTACTATGTCATCTTGGGGTCCCCTGTTGAAGCACATGAAGACACAGATGGATAAATATGACTGAGATTGCCATATAGAGTATATAGATATATTACATAGAGTATACAAGCGTGTATAGAGTAATGAGCTGGAGCTATTTCCCAGACCTCGCCCTAGGTAATTATACAGAGTGAAAATGATTCCTCTCTAAGTAACAGGAGAATGGATCTTGGCCCTGATTTTTGTTTTCTAGACTGCAGAGCTAAAGCTCTGTCTCACCTTCCACTTTGCCTCTACGTCAGAGAACAGAAGCTTCCCAAAAAGTTCAGTGTTCAGAATGTGCTTTTTGGAAATCATAGGTGTTTCACCCAGAGACACAGAGAAGACCTGAATTATCCTGGGTTGTAGACTGTGGCTTTGGAAGCTTTGGTGATGGCCACAACCCACAGTATCTCAACCACATTTCCAGGTTCTTATCAGTTTGTGTCAGGAGAGAAATGGGCATTTAGATAAGAACAGGAGCCTGACCTTTGTGGGTTTCAAGCCATCCTTGCCTCTCTCCTGACATAGGTAAGTAGGATGGCTGAGGCCCTCTTGATCTCAGGTGTGCCCAGGTGCCTCACAGACATGGAATGGCCTACAGGTATTCTTCTGTTCACTACTCCCACCTGCAGTGCCCCCAAAGTCCCCCAGCTCCTGTTTGCCTGGTGTTCTCTTCAGGTTCTTGAGCCCACAGCTCAGTGTGGATTTAGCTATGAGCAGGAGGTGTTCACCATTTACTTCAGCCATTATCTCTGTAATTTTTCTGTATTTTATAACCTTAGAACAAACCTTACTCTTTCTGGGAGCCACAAGACCTCAGTTAAGTACATTTACCTTGAGAGACTCTGCACATACAGGAGCCCTTCTAACTCGCTGAATTAAATACCAAACATTATTTTAATAAAGGATTGAAAAGCATAGAGATGTTACCTTTGCTGGAAAGTAACCTGTTTTCTACTCATTTACTTTATAAACATAGCCCACACAGATATATCAATATAAATTCTTATGTTCTACCCTAGAAATCTGATTTTTAAGCCTACTTATTAGACCAGTTTGACAGTATTGACTAAGCACTCCTTAGAGGTCATGATGTAGAATTTACAAACTGCTACAGAAAAATGAAATCAAACCATTTACTTGCTCAGTCATCTTTTCAGAGTGCATTTCATAATTTTTGTTAACCCAGTTTTTGAAATCTTTCACAAAGTCACTCTTTAATGATTTCCAGAGACTTTCTATGAAATTGTCTTTTAAACCAAACAGATGGCTTTAATTTTTGGTGGAGTGGTATGAAAGGAATGTCACATCAGAAACTGCAAGCAATTGAGCTCAGATTTTTTTGTCAACCATACATGTGACTCACAATGCATTTTTACGTTTCTCTCTTTTAAGTGAGTTTACAACTCCTCACCACCCACAGACTTCAGAAAGTGAAATTTTAAGTGAAAATCAATCCTAGCATTTCAAAATTTAAAGTCTTGGATTAACTGAAGTGTTCACTTATTGAAAAGCCAATAGATTTAAATCCTTTAGGTTACGAGTGTCCTCTAAAAGATTCCAGCGATAAGAGTATTTTCAGATTTGTTAAACTGCTCACACAGAATATGCACACCCTTCCTCTACCTAGTAGGGTGGTTTATCTGGTTACATCAGAGTAATTTGAGCAGCAGCTGCAAATGGAACCTCTCTTGACCCTTCACCCACTTATTTCAGTCCCTGAAGTAGGGCTGAAATTTGTCAGGAATCCAGAGGAAGGGAAAAGACTTGTTCTGTTGAATTTAATTCAGCATTTATTAAGTGTCTGCTGTGTGCAAGAGATAAGCCAGAGACTGAGTAATGTTAAGGCGATGAGGTTCTGCTTCTTGCTTTTTTTTTGTGCAATTATTACCTACTGGTTTGAAGTGGGGAAAGGCAAAAGGGGAAAAAAGAATATACAATGGGAAGTATCATTTTTTATGACAAAAAAGTTTTAAAAAGTTTTTAAATATTTAAAAAGTGCAAAATTATGAAAAATCCCAACTCATAAAAAATTCTGTCCATTTTCATATCCAGATCATTTCGGTGCCTACCCTTCATACATAATCCAGTCTCCCAAAGACCATTAGGGTTTCACTCTGTCCCTGAATTACATATGTATTATTTTTTATAAAAATACTGAATGAAGATTTTTAGTGGTGATTTTAATCATATCAGTTGTCTTCTCTTTCTGATAAGATTATTTTTAAGAAAAAAAGTTGACAGCTGACACAATGAACACCAGCTGCATCACCAAGGATAACGGACCCCCACACCCAACACCAGCACCAAGGAAGCAATCTGCATTCACTTGGTGCCCCTGAGCTGGGCTTTGGATGTTAAAAAATGTTTATTGACCAGTATTTACTTCATTCTCTTCAGATGACTTGCTTAGATATGATCATTTATACCCAAAGAGTACTGATTGACAGAATAACTCAGTTTAAGTTTCGTTCCGGTACTGAGCATAATTGAGATGGTGAATTTCATGTTATGTGAATTTGACCACAGTGCGCTTTTTCTCTTTTTATTTTTTTAAGGTATCTTTTTATGTATGTATGGAAGAACTGGGATGCAGCCCAGAGGTGCACGGGGCAGGAGAGGAGGGTATGAGAGGATTCACCAGAGACAGAGTGGGGAGCAGAACAGGCAGATTGACTGAAATCCACTGCTGAGGGGAGCAGCGGGTGGGTAGACAGGAGAGGTCTGCTGCACCATGTGGGTCACTCCCTGGCTGGGAACATACTCAGGCCTAAGGAGTGATTAACACTGAGACTGAACCTCTTGGCTACCAGTGAGGCTCTTACAATGTATTTTATTTATTTACTTACTTATTTACTTATTTATTTTAACTCAGCATTAAGAACTTTTCTGGGAGAAAAAGGAAAAACAGAAGCTAAATGCTTTAGATCACTGAGAATATTTGAAATATAAATAAAATAAAAAACAATGTAGTAGCGATCCCTCTGAATTCTTGTTGCAGATTCGCACATCTGTGATCACACTGTTATTCCCCAAAAGACCCTTCAGCTGGATAAGACATTTCCTAATTGCGGCCATACTCATCGCAGTTAATAATGTTTTGGTCATCCTTGTGCCAACCATAAAATACATCTTTGGATTCATAGGTGAGTTCCAGATTCCTTTCATTGGGTCAACTCAAACTGATCCCTTCTTCAGGGGCAGCTGGGCTCTCAGGCTGGGGATCTCCAGGAGATCTCAGACCCCCATGGTCTAGTCTGGCTTCCTTTTCTGATTGTTGAGAAAATGGAGCCCCACAGAAATCAAGGCTTCTATCCTGAAATTGACCCAAGACTTGGCCTTAGAGCTTAATTCTGCATCAAAAAAAAGAATGAAGATGTAGATTTTTATCTTATAGGATGGTTCTCTCTGGCCTAAGTTCATCTGCAGAGTGTTAAAAGTTATCTTTAGAGGAGAACAAAATTCAAAGTTGATTTATAAAGCATATCATTTCCCCTAACAGTAGGCCTATTGATAATTGTAATTTCTCAGGGATTACTTAGAAAGACTTAAAATTCTGAGAAGTTACTCAGACTTTAAACACAATAAAAAACTTGAAAAAGTGAGAAATGGATCAGAAGGGTGTGTAACAAACTCAGCCTAAGTACACCGGTATATTATTTCCTGTAAATTTGTAATGCTCAGCCTCTCAATTTATGTTTATGTTCTACATTAATTGATGTTTATATTCTATAAACTTAATATGAAGGCATGATGTTGGACACATTTTAATGTTCTTTATAAACATCTATGAGTAAGTTGTTAAATCAAGCTTAATCATTTTGGTAGTGCTAAGTAAGGTAACTTTGGATTTGGCTCCTTTGAAGTGCAAGGTCTGGGTCTCTGACTGGCTGAGTCAGACCTACGCTGTGAGAGGCTTACCTGTGCCATGTTTTTCTTCTCAGGGGCTTCTTCTGCTACTATGCTGATTTTCATTCTTCCAGCAGTTTTTTATATAAAACTTGTCAAGAAAGAATCTCTGAGGTCACCCCAAAAGGTTGGGGTAAGTAAGACTTGCAACTGCTTTTCTACACAGTTAAAAAAAAAAAAAGAGTTGAACAGCACCTAAAAGTCAAACATGGCTGGAACTCTCTGGTGGAGAGGAAGGGCCAGCAGTAGGTGTGGAACACTCAAATGATTTTAGAATTTCTTCTCTTCAAATATCAAATAGCTTGCATTGAGTCTTTCTCACCTGTCAAACCCTACGAGGTTTCCTCCAGCCATTGTACATTATCTATGACTAACTAATGCAGTAGTGAATTAAGCCTCCTGGATCTGCTGTGAAGCGATGTAAACATTTTAGTCATATTAGTTTTGCAAGGCTGAAAGAAAAGGTGGTACTTTGTTTTATCCTCCAAGGTATCTTGTCCCCTGGGGTGGAGTAAGATCCAGAACAGGAGCCTCCATTTTCTAGTTAGTCTCCCTGGATATAAAACATAGTCTTATTAAACTACAGTGTGTCTTGTTTCCATAGAATCAAACACTAGAAATTAGCATTTTTCTGATAATTAGTGATTACTTAATGTAGTCTTAAATTCAGGCTTGAAAAGAAAGCTCCTTATTGAGTGATCTTGCATTTTCACCTGATAACCATTCACTGTTGGCAGTGTTCAAAATTCTTCCTATCCTTTTGCTCCCAAACTTCTGTATGTAGTTTACCTTGCTTGGACTTTTACAGCAGTATGACCTTGGCCATGTTGCTTTCAATGGCCTGAGTTTGTCTTTTTGATTACTGAGTAATAGTTCATTGTGTATATAGACCACAACTTTTTGATTCATTCCTCTATTTTGGAGCATTTGGGTTGTTTCTATATTGTGGCTATTGTAAATAGTGCTGCATTAAACAGGAGCGCAGATTTGCTTTCAAATGAGCATTTTTGTGTCCTTTGGGCAGATTTCTAGGAGTGGAATCATTGAGTCAGATAGTAGCTCCATTTTTAATGGAACTCCACACAGCTTTCCATAGTAATGGGACCAGTGTGCATTCTTTTATCTCTATAGCCTCTCCAGTATTTGTTGTTTCAGGTTTTTTAACGCAGACCATTTTTAACAGAGTGAGTAGTATCTCATTATGGTTTTGATTTGCATTTCTTTGATAACTAGTAATGTTGAACTTCTTTTGCATATGCCTATTGGCCATTTGCATTTCTTCATATTGGAGAAGTGTCTCTTTAGTTCTTCTGCCCAATTTTTGACTGGGTTGTTTATTTTTGGTGAGTTGTATTAGATCTTTACTAGAAGTCTATCGCTGATTTTAAATGTTGGTAAGGTATTCTATCATTTTGATGCACCAAATCAATCAACCATTACTCAGTCCCGAGCATTTGGATCACATCTCTCCAGTGTATTCTCCTCCCCCAACTAGGGCTGTAAATGACTGGATTGTTATACCTGGACATCACAACTATTGAACTAACATTCAATATGCAAATAAGGTTGTTGCAGATTAGGTAAACAACATATAAAAGCCAAATATGCAAGTAAGTGTGGCTTCTGTGTTTCCTAACAAGTTCTCTCTGAATTACAGGCTATGATTTTCCTTGTGGTTGGGATCATCTTCATGATTGGAAGCATGGCACTCATTATAATGGACTGGATTTATGATCCCCCAAACACCAAGCATCACTAACCCAAGGAAAAGTACTTTCTTTTTCTGTTGGAGATGGTTGCGTTATGTTCAAAAAGACATTTGCATGATTGGAATGAGTGATTGATTGGAATGTTATTCATAGGAAATAACAGGAAGATTCCAAAGATGCTTACTCGCATCTTTTAAAAATCTGTTTACATCACCAAGCATCTGCGGAAAAGAAAATTGCTTTTGTCAAGAGTGGCTGTTCACGTATTTAAAATCTGTGGTGCACATTTCTACCCAGGTTTTACGAGAGCAGTTGATGATGTATTTTTGCTGTCGTACAAGCAGAATAAGGGTAGCAGCATGTAAGGTCATTAGGTAAAACTGTTCATCTCCCCCTTTCCTTTCTCCTTCCTCTCCTCTCCCCCAACAAAGTACCAAATAGTTGCATTGTCAGAACATCAAACAAAAATGTGCTGGTGGCAAAGCAATCACCTCTAATGCCCTCCTCCAGTCTTACACCAAATACTCTGGGTATATTTAAGCACAGGCAAAGATCGCATCTGTGAACTGTCCCTGTAAGGTGCATGAGAGGTACAACACCAGAGAGAGAGTTTTATTGTTACCAGTAAAGGAATACTTCGCTCATCTTGTTTGTGACATTGAATTAATGATTTCTTCTTTCAAAAGATTTATTTCTGTAAATGTTAAAATATCTTACCAAACACAGAGAGGGGCTTTGTTGAAACTGTAGAGCTACAAAATTAATGCTTGAGCTGAACCACGTGTTCTGGAAGCATTTGCTTTTTCATGTTATTCTTAGTGCTCTCCTCAGTTTCTGTTATGGAACAACACTCTCCCTCTCGTCTTCCATTCTCATTCAGAATTTTTAGAAGACCACGGTTCATGTGGAGATACACTACCCAGTATTGTTTGATACATTTTTATTTGATAAACATTCAGTGCAGGAAACTGTGATTTACTATGTGTTTATGTATATAACCTTATTCTATATTCATCAGAATTTTAAAGTATGGTACATTTGATTTTTATTTTTTACATGTGTAGTTTTCTCTCTTCACAGTCAAAATACTTATATTATTGGGGGAGGGGGTAGGGAATTAAGTTGCTGTGCTCAGAATCCATCTGTATGGAGCTGTCTAGTGAGGATATTTTAAATTTAAACCCTAAGTTATATATACTTTAGTAATGCTCTTCTCCAGTGTTTACAGTAATATAGTCATCAACAAGAAAATAGGTCCCTTATTTGCAAGTAATTAGCAACAGTATGGCTATTCTTTTAATTGAGTATGTCTAATATAGGATTTAGTTTATTTGAACTTACACAAGGGTAACCTTCATGTGCCATTTAATACAATATTCAGTGGATCCAATAAAAATAGAAGTGCTAACACTACAAAGAAATATGGACTATCCTTCTTGCCCACTTATATGAAGTGGTTCTGAAAATTAGTACTCACTGTGTAGAATTTCTGGACTTTGCTACCTTATTTTTCAAATCAGTAGCAAGAACATTTGTTGTATATTTTATATTTTAGCAAAGCTATGAAATACAAATATATATGTTTGATAATACTAAATCATATTTCAATAGTTTTTCTGTACCGTAATGTATATTTGTTTTGTGTATTATTTTATGGAGGCATTATGCTGTAAAATGGTACACTTTGTTCTGGAAATTGAGCATTACTAGAAACTACCATAACTTTTCAGTTACTATTTTTGGGGAAAAAATTGCCATAGAGCATCTGTAAGATATTTTTTCATTTTCATTCATCTAAAGAGTGTATCAAGATAGAAAGTGACAAAGGTACTGTCCAAGTGTTGAAAAATATCATCTGAATTTATTTAAATGTAAATATCAAATATTAATCAAAAAATCAGAAAATGGTGAAATATGTGTATATTTTCAGTGCCTTACATTTGGAATGACTGACTTGAAACTATCAACATATGTAATTATATTGATATTTTAAAGTAATACTAGTGTGCCAAATAATAAAGCACCACTTTTTTTCTCATGCCATTTTCAGGATTGGAGTTCTCATAGACTGCAGGACAGACATACATATGGTATCTTATTCTGGTTAATTTAACCCCATTTGTAAACAGATGAAAATTTTATTTTCTTATTTCATTTATAAGATGGCTCAGTGTATTGGGAGGCTTTTTTATTACAGAAAGTGTATATTGGTATATAATAAATGAACTTTTCAAATGACTATGATGTGTTAAAGAAGGCTGTGAATTATTTGTTCATGACACAAGATTTTAAATCTAAATGTTGCCTTTCTCAGTACAGCAGTCTATGTTCCATTTTGATTGTTATCTCAATATTAATATCTATTGCTGTCAAAAAATAGTGGCCATCTTATTTTGACAAAAATAAGTAGCTAACCTGGGAATCATTTTTATTTTGTCATCACATGTAAATGAATTTCTTTATGGTTAGTTAGGGGTAATTCGTTTAGGATGGGAGATGAGGGAATAGAAGAAACACAAGATGAGTAAAGACAAGACACAGAAGACCTGAAAGAAGGGGAAACACCAGGGAGGGGTGAGAAGTGGGTAAAGTTGGTTCTAACATTTTCATTACTATATATATATATATAT